GAATTAAAGATTAAAAAGCGATTGTTGTAAAGGAAAAGAATGGCTTTTTGATCAAGGGAAACGTTTTGCTTTATAATCGGACGATTTCCTGTCAGTGAGAGAGAAACTCTCCTCTTTCGGTCCCGAGGGAAATGTGTGTAATCGCCATTCTATTCTGCATCGGTTTCCTCTCGCGATCATTTGTTTATTGGCTCGTGCCATCGCGAGTGTCACCGGCGCACAGAGCATTTCAATTGAAAAATATATTCTTATTCACGTTAATTCACGCGTAAAATCTACAATTTTAATGTTTTTTTTTGTTAATTTAAAAAAGAAACGAAAATAAATAAATTTTTGAAAAATAAAATAGATCTTCTATTATACAGTAATTTCCCATTTACTTTTTTTTTAGTTTTCTATTTAACTTTATTTGAATTCCTTCGAAGAACTTTATCAAAAAATTTGAGAATAATTTAATTTCATCGAAGAATTTTATTAAAATTTTTTAAAATAATTGAATTTTTTCGTAAAATATTAATTTATTTATTTAATTTAAAAAAAAATGAATTCTTTCATGAAATTTCATTAAAATTGTAGTATTAAAAATAATTAAATTTTTACAAATAATTTTAATATTTATAAAAATAATTGAATTGTTTCAAAGCATTTATTAAAATTTTTAAAAATAATTGAATTGCTTTGAAAAATTTTATAACAAATTAAGGAAAAAATTGAATTCTTTCAATTTTCAATTTCACGAAATTTATTAATAAATAATTGAATTTTTTTAAAGATTTTACTTTTCAAAAAAATTATTGAATAGTTTGGAAGGTTTTATTAAAATTTTTAAAAATAATTTATATTTTTTCGAAAAATTTTTTTAAAAATTCAAGAGAAAAATTGAATTCTTTCATGAAATTTTACTAAAATTGTATTAAAAATAATTGAATTGTTTCGAAGGATTTATTAAAATTTTAGAAAATAATTAAATATTCTTTTAGAAAATTTTTTTAATGAATTAAGACAAAAATTGAACTCTTTCGTGAAATTTTATTAAAATTTTGTTGAAAATAATTTAATTTTTGCAAAAAAATTTACTATTTATAAAAATAATTGAATTCTTCCGAAGAATGTTATTATTTATGAAAATAATTGAATTGTTTCAAAAAATTTTATTAAAAATTAATAATTAATTGAACCATTTCGAAGAATTTATTAAAATTTTAGAAAATAATTGAATTTTTTCGAAAAATATTAAAAATAATTGAATTGTTCCGAAAGATTTATTAAAATTTGAAAAAAATAATTGAATTCTTTCGAAAAATTTTATAACGAATTAAGAAAAAAAATATTGTTAAAAATAATTTAATTTTTGCAAAGATTTTACTATTTAAAAAAAAGAATTGAATTGTTTTGAAAGGTTTATTAAAATCTTTTGGAAAATAATTGAATTGTTTCGTGGAATTTGATTTAAATTTTATGGAAAATAATTGAATTTTTGCAAAAAATTTTACTATTTCTAAAAATAATTAAATTCTTCCGAAGAATGTTATTATTTATCAAAATAATTGAATTCTTGCGAAGAATTAAAATTTTTATCTCCCAAGGGGTTAAAAATAGTTATTTTTTTTACCGCAAGTTTGTAAAGTGAAGATTGTAAAGCAATTATATTTAATCAAAAAATCTTTTTTTATCTTCCTGCGATAAAATTTTTTTTAATTTTTCCCTTCTGTAAGATTAGAAACGGTTATTTTTCTTCCTAGGAAGAAAAATTGTTAATTTTCACACGAGGGCCAAAAGTAATGATTTTTACTACTGAAAATTAAAATTCACTGTTTTTCTTCTTAGAATTAGGATTTTCTTCCATCTTAGAATAAAAAACGCCAATTTTTCCCTTTCGGAACAAAAATTATTTTTTTTCCTCCCTAGGCTTGAAAATGGTTACTTTTCTCCCGAGGGAGGATAAAAAACAGTAATTTTTCTCTCTAGAGTAAAAAAAAAAGTATTTTTCACTCCCAGGGACTAAAATGATCATTTTTGAACCAAACAGACTGATAATTTATGAAGAAGCTAAAAAATGCTTTTAAAATATTACATAATAGGCTAAAATGTAAAGAAAAAGTAAAAAGAAGACAAAAAATGAAATATGTATTTCTATATTCTTGTTTGCAAAAGACCTGGAGTGGACGAGTATCGCTCAATTTCTCTTCCAGGATGGAATATATATCTATATTTTTTTTTTAAAAGAAAGATTCGCTTGTAATGAAATAAAGCAGAATTCGACGGTACGTGAATTATAAATGATATTATGCAAATACTATGTGGGGGAAGGAGAAAGGAAAAGAAGCACTAGTGCTGAGAGTTAATTTGATGAAAAACATCAGAGGGTTTTAGGAAAAGAAAGATGGAGGAGAGGGAGAGAGAGAGAGAAAGAGAGGAGGAAACCTGGCAAAAGACGCATCTCTCTTCTACTCTTTCTCTCAACGAAAGGCACTTTAGTGGAGTTTTACATTTTTTTTATTTTATTTTTTTTTTATTATTTTCCTTGTATTTTTTTTACCCTCCTATGAACGAATTTCATTTTTCTACCCATGTAACTCTCGAGCACTTATCTCAAGCACTCAAAATGCCCTTGAGCGCATTTAAATAGCTAATGAACTTCATTTTACAAACAGAAATCACTGCAGATATGATACGATATAAAAATTTTTTATTCAAATTTCCCCTCCAAATGAAAATAACGAAAAAAGAAAATTCCTAATGTAATCAATTTTTTTTATCGTTCACTTTTAGTAAAATTTTAATATGGATAGAGTGCTGTATTAATTATTTATATACAATTTTTTAATGTAATTTTAATTTATATTTATTTGAAAATTCATAGAAAGAAAATGAAAATATAAATAAAGAGAACAAATATTTTACTGGTAGAAAAGTAAAAAAAATTTTAAAAAGAAGATAATATAAATTTTTGTTTCTATCACAAGGGGGAAAAGTAACATTTTTCGCCACTAGGGAGCAAAATAACTATTTTATAATCAGAGTGATCGCTGGACCGGAAAACCAGAGGAAATGACAGTGAATTTTTTTCTTGACCGGAAATTTTGAATTTTTTTTATTAAAAAGTGTTTTTCTTTAATAAAAACACTGATTATTTTGTGAGAAAAAATAGAAATATAAAATTATTTAAAATAAATCTTTGCAAAAATTCATTATTTTCAATAAAATTTTACGAAAGAATTCAATTTTTATCTTAATTCACTATAAAATTTTCTAAAAGAATTCAATTATTTTCTAAAATTTTAATAAATCCTTCAAAACAATAATTCAATTATTTTTAATACAATTTTAAAAAAAATTCATGGAAGAATTGATTTTTTTTTAATTATTAATTAAATTCCACGAAAAAGTTCAATTATTTTCTAAAATTTTAATAAATCCTTCAAAACAATAATTCAATTATTTTTAATACAATTTTAAAAAAAATTCATGGAAGAATTGATTTTTTTTTAATTATTAATTAAATTCCACGAAAAAGTTCAATTATTTTCTAAAATTTAAATAAATCTTTCGTAACAATTCAATTATTTTTTTAAATAAGTAAAATCTTAGCAAAAATTCATTATTTTCAATAAAATTTTACGAAAGAATTCAATTTTTATCTTAATTCACTATAAAATTTTCTAAAAGAGTTCAATTATTTTCTTAAATTTTAATAAATCCTTTAAAACAATTTAATTATTTTTAATACAATTTTTATAAAATTTCATAAAAGAATTGATTTTTTTTAATTATTAATAAAATTCTACGAAAAATTCAATTATTTTCTAAAATTTAAATAAATCCTCCGCAACAATTCAATTATTTCTTTAAATAAGTAAAATTTTTGCAAAAATTTAAAAAAAATTTTATAATTTATTTCTAAAAAGTTTAATTACTTTTGTAAAATTTTAATAAATTCCTTGAATAAATGAAATTATTTTTTTTTTAAATTTTAATAAAATTCAATAATAAAATGTTTAATTTCAATTATTAAAAAAAATAATTTTCACAAAATTCTTTAAAACAATTTAATTATTTTCAAAAATTTTAATAAAATTCTAGGCAAAAATTAAATTATTTTAGATTCAAAATTTTAAAAAGTTACAAAAAGTCATATAAAAAAAATTAATATAAAATGTTATTAAAAATGTTATATTCTAAAATAGAAACAATTTCCCATATAAAATAGTGAAAAACAAATATTTTTTTTGCAATAATGTTAAATTAATATATTATTAATATAGATTTGAATTTCAAAAAGTTTAAAATTAAAGTTTTAGAGAGAAAAAAACTTTTTTTTAGTGTTAAAAACGATTATTTCTCGCTACTATATTAATGAGAATTATTTTAGTCCCTAGAAGTAAAAACCCCTCTATTTTAGAGTTAAAAACGGATATTTCACTCCCAAGTATTAAAAAGCAAATATTTTAGGACCTTGGGGTAAAAATTATTTTTGTTTAAATCACAGTTGACAAATGACGATTTTTTTACATCTATAGATGAGAAACAACTGTTTGTACAATAAGGGAGAAAAATAATCGTTTTAAATCCTAGAGAGTAAAATAATCATTAATTATCCTATGGATAAAAATAACTATTTTGAATCCTAGGGGGAGAAAATAATCGTTTTTTCCCCAATGAAGAAAAATGACTGTTTTTTAAAATCCCAGAGGAAACAATAATTTCTTTTCGTTCTTAGGGGTTTATGAAAGCATTTTAGTCCCTAGAGGCAGAAAAATGAGAATTTTTAGTCTTTCGGATGAAAATTAGTTTGAAATAGAAATAATGAATTTATAATCAATGGCAAATTTTTTATTAAAATAATAATTATTATTAATTATTATTTTAATAATAATTTTTCCATTTTGCAACATAAAAGATAGAAAAATTGTTTAATAAAATTAAATATTATGTATTAAAAAAAAAAAGTCGAAAAATTTTCCTCATTTAAATTAAAAGTGGAAAAAATCGGAGGAATGGTTCGAGAGAGGGGAAATTAATAAAGAATAGAAAGGGACCACATTTCGATAATTGTTTGATGGTAAACGAATAATAATAACCGGAGAAATTGGCGATAATATGAAAATGTCGAGGGAAGGATACCACGTGTTAGATTAACGGGCCAATCTCTTTTCATTGGGGGCGTTTCTCACTCCGGTTTCTCCTGAGGGCAGCGCAAAACCAGAGTGGGGCAAATATTCTCGCGGTAAAACTACCCCAGTGAATCTCCAAGCTCCTGGCGTTCAAATCACAACCGCAAGAGTTATCGTTCTCTAAACGTCGCAAATTTTTTTTTTGTTTTTGGTTTCAAAAAAAAAAAAATCTCTTTGAAAAAGTTTCTTTCAATTTTTCGCCTTCCTTCATTTTTGGTGGATAAATTATTTCTCATTTAAAATTAAAAAGAAAAAGAAAACAACAACAACTGTGACTTAAAAATTTTACGCTTTTAATTTTTCTGTTTCTTAAATTTTAAAACATTTTCAATAAGGGAAAATTGTATTTAATACTAAATTGTGAATTCAGAATAAAAATGAATTAATAATAAAAAATAATAAATAATAATAAATAATAATAAATAACAATAAAAAATAATAATAAAAAATAATAATAATAATAATAAAAAAACATAATAATTTTGTAACAAAAAAGCCTAAATATTACAAAATAATTACAAAAAACGGTTTCAATAAAAAACAAGTTATAGAAAATAATAATAAATAATAATAAAGAATACTACTAAATGATGATTATAATTATAATAATTAATAGCAATACTAGTAAATAATATATAAAATATGAAATAAAATAAAAAAAAATAATAAACAGAAAAATAGTAAATTATGACAAATAAAAACAAATATTACTAAATAATAATATTATTTTATATTATTATTTTCTAGTATGAATTGTTAACTATTATTATTTTTTCACAATGAAGTATTAATTATTATTATTATTATTATTATTATTATTATTATTATTATTATTATTATTATTGCTATTATTATAATAATAATTAGAATGATAATATAAAAATACTGTAATAAAATATAATTTAAAAAAAGTTTGGAATTGAAGAATAAGAAAAAATGTCCCATGGAATGTGTGGTCATGGAAATTATGCGAAACAAGTGAGAGGATAAAAAAAAATTGCCCGGATATAGTTTTGAAAGAAAAGAACAAAAGGACAAAATGTATAATTTTTATCGAGCCTGGTTTGGCACGGAGCAAACCTGTCCCCGTCTCGAGACCCTTTCACCCCCGGACACTTTGATTCGAGTGGGAAACGACGGTGAACATCAATTCGTTGCCCATCGTGGAATTTTGGCAGCGCACAGTGGTTATTTAAAGGCATTATTGTCAAATAGTAATTCAGGAAATTCTACACTCTCCTCGGATGGAAATTCGGTTATTAGTTCAATTTCCGTTTCGTCAATTGGTAATTTTCTGTCTCTTTTTTTTTTAATTTGGAAAGAAAATTTTCTTTTCCCCGAAAAATCTATTTTTTCTAATCTGTTTCTATTTTTTTTCAAATTCTTTTGAGAATATTTTCTATTTTTCAAAGTAATTTCTATTTTTCAAAACAATTTCTATTTTTCAAAATAATTTCTATTTTTAAACACATTTTCTATTTTTCTACTTCTTAAAATATTTTCTTCTCAAAGTTTTAAAAATATTTTCCTTTACATATTTTTTTCAATAATTAGGTATTTGTATTTTATTCCCTTTTGTTACGATTCGAAAATTTGCCATCGATTAAAAAAGTTGAAATTTTCATTTTTTGTTTCTTATAATGTCAATGATTTAATATTCGTCGAAATTAAAAATTTGAAATCTGATTCGAATTCTTTTTTATTTTGTTCAAAATTCAGAAGTTTAATTTTGTCACGATCCAAAAATTTTGATTTTGATTCGAATTTTCTTTATTTTATCCCCATTCAAAAATCAAATTTTTTCTGATTTCAAAATTCGTCCTTGATTTTGTACTTTGTTTCATTTTGAAATTTTAATTTTATCGCGATTCAAAAATTTAAGTTTTCAATCCGAATTTTTTATTTTGTTCCAATTCAAAAATTTTATCTTGTTCGAAGTTGAGAATTTAATTTTGTTACAATTGAAAAAAGTCTATCTTTCAATTCGAATTTTTTTTTATTTTATTTCAATTCGCAAAGTATTTATACTTTTTGTCGAGATTCGAAAATTTCGAAATTTTGTTCTGACTTTTTGTATTTTATTCCGTTTGGAATATTCTTTTTTCTACTTAAAAATTTGCTTTCAATTCGAATTCAAAATTTGTACTTCGTTTCAATAAGGAAATTTTGTTTTGTCACGATTTAAAAACTTAGGTTACGATTCGATTTTAAATTTCCTATCAATTCAGAAAATTAATTTCTTTTCCATTAAAAAATTTGCTTTCGATTCTAATTCAAAAATTTTTGCCCCGTTTGTCCTGATTCAAAAATTTGGTTTTTGTTTCGAATTTTTTATTTTATTCCACAGTTGACAAAATTTAATAAATAAAAAAAAATTATAAAATTTTTTTTAATCCCTTTCCGTCAATTTTTAATATTTTCCTAGCACAAATAAAGTTCCGAAAATTTGTCATCAATTTCTTTCTCTCTTTTTTAATAAATAAAAAAAAATCGACAATATTTTCTTTAAGAATATTTTAAAAAAATCTCCTGAAACTATTATTAATTGGAAAATTGTTTTCACTCAATAATCAAAAGTCTTCAAAAAATTATTTTAATTTTGTTTAGAAATTTTTTGCCTTTTTTGATTTCCTCGATTTTTTCTTTATCGGTTGATTTTTTTTTCTTTTTGATTATTTTTCTCTTTATCAGTTTTTTTTTATTGCTTTTTGAGTTTGTTTTTCATTCATTCGTTGTTTTTCTTTTTATTTTTTTTTATTATTTTTCTTTTTCTAGTTTGTTGTTCTGCAGTTCTTTTTATTTTCTTCTAGTTGTTTCTGTCTTTTTGTTTTTTAATTATTTTCTGAGTTCCTTTTTCCTTTGTTTTTTTATATTTTTGGTTGTCATTCTTTTTTCAGTTTTTTTCTTCTAATATAGTTGTTTTTATCTTCTTCCGGTTGTTTTTCTATTTTTTCAGTTGGTTTTTATTCTTTGAAAGTTTTTTTCTTTCTTGACCTTTTTTCGTTGTTTTTTTTCCAGTAATTTTTTTACTTTTTGATTGTTTTTTTCTTTTTAGTTGTTTTCTGCTTTTTGTTTCTTTTTTTTTGCTTTTTGGTTCCTTTTTGCTTTTCTGGTTCTTTTTTTTGCTTTTTGATTGTTTTCTGCTTTTTGAATTTATTTTTCTCTCTGTCCAATTATTGTTTTCTTATTTTCCTTTTTTTTTTGAATTTTCATAATTATTTTTGTTTGTAAAAAATAAATTCCAGGTGGAGAGGCGTTTGCCCCGTTACTCAACTACATGTACACGGGTCATTTGGACGTTAATCTGGACAACATTTACAGTGTTTTGCTTGCGACACATTTACTGCATATGCCAGGAGCATTGGAACAATGTCGAGCGGCTTTATTGAGACTGAGGACACCACCTGCGATTCCGGTTCAACAAACTGGCCAAGGAAATGTTTTAAGACCAGTGCCAAATCGACTGGTGGGTCCGCCATTGTGTTGGCCGCAAACTAGCTTGTACGGTCCCGGGCCCATTATTTCCCGATTGCCTTCTTTGCATTTGCCGCAGACAATTATTCCCCCCCTTCTTCAGGACAATCCCGGATCGTCACTTTCCTACAGGTTTGCAGTCGAAAATTTTCATCTTCGTTTCATTTCATTTTTCGATTTAATTCGATTGAAAAATTCGAAGTTTGGTTGATTTTAAAATTTTAATTTTCTAACATTTTGTTGTTGTTTTTTTTAATTAATTTTATTTTTATCTTTTTTAGTACAAGAGAAAGATCACTGTCACCAAAATCATCGCCATCGCGTCCTCGTCGTTCGGAATCACGTTCACGTTCACGTTCACGATCATTAACGCCCGTGATTCCTCAGGTACAATTAACGCCTCAATTTTCCAAAAATTCCCTCAATTTATCGTCTAAACGAAAAACTCCCGACGAATCGCAATTAAAAAGTTCGAGTTCTTCCGAGATCAGCGAGAAAATATCCGTGACAAATGTGGAGCACATTTCGCAACAATTGCGCCGAGCGAGGTAAACCTTTTTTCTTTTAATCGACAATTTTCCAATTTCTTTACTTTTCAAAAAATATCCCAAACTTTTTTTTCAAATATTAAATTTTTAGTCTACAAAATTGATTTTATAAATTATTATAGAAATTTAATTTCCCTATTTTGTTCAAAAATTAAACTTTCCGAATTTTGAAACTATTTTCCTTTTGAATTTGTTTGTTTGAATTTTTTGCTTTTATTTATTTATTTTATGCTTTTAAAAATTATTTGCTTTAAAAATGAAATCAGTAGTAAAATGAAAATCTATTTTTGAAATTAAATTTCAAAAGTAGTCTCGTAAAATTATTTTCTACTTTTAAAAATTAATCGAAAAAATTTTTCAAATATTTTTACTATTACTGTTGGCTCTCAAAAATTAAAAAATCTCGATATTCAAAAATTAATTCTAAAATTAGTCTCAAGTATTAATTTTTAATTTCAAAATTGAATCGAAATAAATTCTTTTTTTTCTGCTTTAAAAACTATTTTTCAGTTTATTTTCTGATTTCAAATTAATTTCAAAAAATTATTTTCTGCGATTCAAATTAATTCCAAAAATTTATTTTCAAGTTTCAAATTTAGGTCAAAAATTAGTCTATAATTTTAAAAATTATTTACTGACTTCAAATTAATTTCCAAACATATTTTCCGATTTTAAATTAAGCTGCAAACATATTTTTCGATATTAAATTAATTTCGAAACATTCGATTTAAACTTGCAGTTCAAAAATTATTTTCTGATTTCAATTTAATTTCAAAACTATTGATTTAAAATTACAGATAAAAAATTATTTAAAATTGCTGTTCAAAAATTATTTTTCTGATTTCAAATAATTAGCAAAAGTACATTTGGAAATTTATCTCTTTTTTTTTAAATAAATAATTGAAAAATTGTCTTTTAAAGGACAAACGCCGAACAGGAAAGCAATTCAAGCGGAAGTGTCGTCTATGATGTTGCATGCTGCGACGGACCCGTGAGATTTCATCGCGTCTTAAACGAAAATTATTCCGCACCCTCAACCGGAACTGCAATTCGTCCGAGAAATTGTTTGGAAACCGACGACACTACTTCCGGTAAGTTAAAAGTGAAAAAAAAATTATTATTTTCAATTTTCTTCCTTCCAAAATTGCTAGAAATAATAATTTCTTAACTTTGAAAGAATTAATCAAAGAAAAAATCATCCCCTTATGAATTTCGAGTTTCTAAAAAGAATATTGTAAAAATTTCAGGCGAAAATGACGAGAACGGTCGACCGGAAGACTTGACGCATGAATCGACGGTGGATTGCGGAGTTTCCGGAAATTACACCTGCAACTATTGTCAGCATACGTTTAAATCGCAATATTGCTATCGGAAGCACGCGAGAAGACATTTATTGCCAACTGAGGCGGAATCATCGAGTCGTAATCATCAGCAACGTCATCAACTTCCGTCTCAGCAGCAGCAACAACAGCCACCACAACAACCACAACAACAACAACAACAGCAACATCATCATCATCAACAACAACAAAATAATCAAGATAAACGTCGACGAGAAGTTAGACTTCTCGATTTAAACGTTCAATATTATCCGTGTAAAATTTGTGGCAGTAAATTTCCAAGTTATTATTTTGTTCACAAGCATCGAAAAATGTGCCATTCAAATATTACCGACGAGACAACGAGGGACAGTAATAATTTACAAAACGATGAGGAAATTATTGTTAACAGCAGTGAACCGAGTGAATCGAGTGGAAAAAAATTAGTCGATTGAGGATTAAACGATAACAAGAGAGAGAAAAATGAAATTGAAAAGAAGATCAACAACAAAAAGAAGAAATCGAAATAAAAAAAAAAGTGTTGTCGAATTTAAAAAATTTCGCTTGTAAAATGAAATGAAATGCACTAAGTTTTAGATATAAAAAAAATGTTCCCCAAAAATATCATTTTTGGAAAAATGTACGAATTATCGTTTGTAAAACATTTCGCAATTTTCTCTTGTCGATTTATATAACATAAAAAACATCGATTTTCTAGAAATAAAAAATTAGTCTCAATTGTGGAAAATTGTTTCTTTAAAATTCGTAGAGAAAAGAAATTGATTCCAAATTTAAGGGAGTTAAATATTGAATTTAAAATACATTTCAAAATTGCTTCACAACAAAAATTAATAATTTGAATATATATTTTTTGCAATAAAAAATAATTGGAAAACTTTCGTATTTTTTGAAAGAAAAAATTGAAAATTCGAAATATTTTAATATTTTAGGAAACAGAAATTGAAAAGTCAAAGAATTTTAATCATTTTCAAAGTAAAAAATTGAAATATTCGAATTGTTTTGTAATAAAAATTTAAGATTCGCTTTTCGCATTTTTTGAAATAGGAAATGAAAAATAATTTTTTTTTAATTTTCATAAAAAAAAATTGAAACATCGAAAATTTTCGCATTTTTTTAAATAAAAAATTAGATCATAGAGTTTTTGTAGTTTTTAAAATAAAAAAATTATAAATCAGCAAAATTTTTACATCTTTTGAAATTAAAAAAAATTAATTCGAAAACTTGTAAATTTTGAGAAAAGTAATTGAAAAATTCAAAAGTTTTAGTATTTTTTGAAATGAAAAAAAAAATAATATTAAAAGTTTTGGTACTTTTTTGAAATAAAAAATAAAAAATTCAAAGAATTTTAATACCGTTGCAAATGAAAAATAGAATAATTTCGTGTTTTTCGTATTTTTTTTTTATAGAAAAAATTCAAAATTCAAAATATTTTTTTATTTTTCGAAACATCGAAAATTTTCGCTTTTCTTTAAATGAAAAATTAGTTGCCTATCAAAGACTTTTGTAGTTTTTAAAACAAAAAAATTGAAGATTCGCAAAATCTTTTTTTCAAATAAGAAATGAAAATTAAAAAATCTTCGAATATTTTTGGAATTAAAAAAGTATTTAAATTTTAGATCTAATGTGAATTAAAAAATTTATATTATTAATTAAGAAACATAAAGTAGTAATTTTTTGTTTTTAAAAATAAGTTTTCCATTTTTTCTTGTTTGGTAAAATAGAAAATGAAAAACTGAATAAATAGGAAATGAAAAAAAAATTAAATAGAAAATGGATATAATAGTTAAAATTAAATTTTTTTTCTCACTCACCATGGGTATCGATAGGTTGAGTCTCTTCGTCGCTCGTTTCAACGGACGCTGCATGATTATCCTTCTTTTTGTCTTTCGTCCTGCCGCTACTCGCTCCCGTTCCCGATGCACCTCCACTTTTCTTCTTCTCCTTATTATCCGACGTCGATAGAGTCGTTGAACTCGAACTCGTCGTATTTGTCGATATTGACAACGCACTCTTTCCCTCAACCCTGAAAATTTTCATATTTCATTAGAGAACAAAAGAAAAAAAAAAGAAAATTCATTTCCGCAAAAATTTTTACATTCTTCAGAGAAAATTAAAAAACAAACGAGGAATTCCATTTCCGCAGAATTTTTACATTCTTGAGGGAAAATCTCAAAAAATAGAAATTCATTTCCGTAAATTTTAACAGAAAATAAAAAAAAAACAAATACATTTTATTATTTTGTAGAAAATGTCCTATCAATCAAGAAAATTTTACTCAAGAATTTTTTTTTTACTCTAAAAACACTTTCGATTACATTGAATTAATCAAATTATTTAAAAAATTAATTTCGTAAAATTGATTTCCATAAAATTTAATGTTCTCAAAAGAGAAAAATTCCAATAAACTTAACAATTTTTTCTATTTGTAGAAAGAAATTTAATTGATTTTTACAAAATTGAAAATAAAATTCTAAAAAAAAGAGAAAAAAAAATAGTGTCCTTCATTTTATTTCTCGTTAAAAAAATATAAATTATCAAACAAATATTTAGATTTGTTTTCAATTTTACTTGAATAAATAAAAAAGCAAAAATGAAAAATTCTTTTTCAAATTACAAAAAAGGAATGTAAATATTTTATTTAAAAAAAACTTTCCGTATTAAAAAAAATATTTTAATTAATAAACAAACAAACAAAACGAGAATATTTTAGTTAGAAATTAAGGGGAGGTTCCCATCGCGGGAGTCAAAAAAATTGATTTCTTTTTTATTGTATTTTTTGAAAGCTATATATATGTAGAATATGTGTGTATACCGATTTTTTGATCCGAAGAATATTTTTGATTTTATAGAGTCTTGAACTAACCGACGTCCCGAGCACTAAGTAACAAATGTCAGGCAAATCACATCAATTTTTAAAAATTTTGCAAATCTGACCTCAGAATCGTAAAGAGAGACCCTAAATACCTATAGATATTTATCATATACGCAAATTGAACAAAGAATTGCAAAGAATACAATTATTGCACAAAAATGTTTTTCAAGCTAAACGCGTTTTTCTCGAAACAAGATTTTTTAAACTGGTGGGCATCGTAGCGTCTAAAATATTTAATCAATCAACTTCGGGTTTGTGGTTTATTAAAGGTAACTAAATTCTACAGGGGTTATACCTATAATATGATAAAATTGTTAACAATACAGATTTTTACAAGAGGTCAAATATGGAAAAATAATGCAAAAACGCAGTTTTTTTAAAAATGTGTCCGCCATTTTGTCATTTTGTTAACTTTTTAACTATTTTATAGGTATAACCTATTCTTTAGGATGTCATCTTTATAAAAAATTTTGAGTTTCTGTTTTAGACTAAAAATTGCGCAGTGTAGAATGCCCACCGTTTTCCTTATTTAAAAAAACATTATTTTCTAGATGCGCCATATTGGCCGCCATTTTGCATTTTTTTGAAAATGAAATATATGTTGTAAAAGTTCAAGAATGTATCTTTATTTAGAAAAAAAACTAAATCGCTAAGTCATAGCCGTTCTTTGCAAAAAATTGTCAAAGTTTGTGTTTATTTTGGCCTCTGCAATGAGAACCTCCCCTTAACCAAATAAAGTAGTAAAGAAAATAATGAAAATAGATAATAAATAAATATAAATAAAAAAATTGAAAATAAAATGAAAATATAAAATAACGTAAAGTTTGAGGTAAAAAATAAATAAAACACGTTTTTCTTGGAAATAAATGCAAAATATAGAAAAAAACAGAATTATTCAAATAATAATTCGAAAATAAATATATTGAAAAAAGAAAATAGTTAAAATAATAAAAATAGTTAAAAAGAAACAAAAATCACCAAAAAAGGAATGTAATAAAAATAAAAAATTAGAAATAAATAAAAAAAAGAATTTTTAAAAATAATAAACAAAAAAAATTAATTTAGAATAAAAATTTAATTATTTTTGAAAATAATTGAATTCTTATAAAAAATTAATCAAAACTTTTAAGAATAATTGAATTCCTTAGAAAAATTTTATTACAATTTAGAAAAATAATTGAGTTGTTTCAAGAAATTTTATTAAAATTGTATTGAAAATAAATGAAATTCCGGAGGAGAATTTTATTATTTTTAAAAATAAATGAATTGTCTCGAAGAAGTTTATGAAAATTTTAGAAAATATGAGAATTCTCTCAACAAATTTTTTAAAATAATTGAACCATGTCATGAAATTTTATTAAAATTGTATTGAAATTAATTGAAATCATGAAATTCCTAAGAAGAATTTTATTATTTACAAAAATAATTCAATTGTTTTTTATTAAAATTGTGTTGAAAATAATTGAATTCCTGCGAAGAAATTTATTGTTTATGAAAATAATTGAAATCTTTAGAAAAATTTAATTACTATTTTTAAAAATAATTGAATCGTTTCGAGAAATTTTATTAAAATTGTATTAAAATTAATTGAATTTCCTGAGGAGAATTTTATTAAAGTTTAAAAAATAATTTAATTCTTTCGACAAATTTTCAAAAATAATTGAATCCTCCCAGAAAATATTATTAAAATTGTATTGAAAATAATTGTAATTCCAGAGAAATTTTTTTCAATTTTAGAAAATAATTGAATTCTTTCGACAAATTTTGAAAAATAATTGAATCCTACCAGCAAATTTTATTAAAATTTTATTGAAAATAATTGAATCCTTTCCAGAGATTTTATTAAAATTTTATTGAAAATAATTGAATCCTTTCCAGAAATGTTATTAAAATTGTATTGAAATTAATATTGAAATTCCCGAGAAAAATATTTTATAAATTTTATAAAATATTTGAACTCTTTCGAAAAAATTTTTAAAAATAATTAAATTCAATAAGTGAATTTAAAAAATTTTTAAAATAAAAAATTATTCAAAAATTGAATCTGATATTTGAAAATATTTTTTCTAATAACATTTAAAATACAAACTTTTAATTTATCGTTACAAAAAATTTCAAACAAAAAATAATAATTTCCCTTAATTGAAATTAAACTGAATTCTTTCGTTTCGCGATTGAAAGTGTAATTTTTTTTTTCTGCACAAACTGTGATTTTTATTTTTAATATTTTTTTTTTTTTTTTTGAATATCAAACTTGCACTCTAATCACTAAGTGGATATCCGAGGGAAATGTATAGGCGATATGCCCGTTATCGTATATCGAGGGAGAAGTTAAGGTTTGGTTTGGGGGTTTTGTTTGGACATTGAATATCTTCCGGTGGAGCGCGCGCGCATTGCAGTTCATTCAATCAGGCCATATACTTTTGATTTAATGAAAATAGACTGATCCAATTGCTTTAACGAGTATTACAACCATGATTTAATTGGATATGCAATCGACTTTTGAGCGTCTATTTATCTACATTTTTTAAAAAACTTTTTTCATTTTTTTTAATCATATTAATACAAGTTGCGGAAAAAAAATTTTGCTTTTAAATATTTATCTCTCCCAAAAAAATAATATTTTCTATTTAGATATTAGAAAAGGGTTGGCACAAAAATTAAATTTTGATTTTTCCTGACTTTTCCCTGATTTCTAAAAAAAAAATTTTAACTTTTTTCCTGATCCCAAAAAAAGGCTCACTCTAAAAATAATTAAATATTTAAAAAAATGTTTTATTACATATATTTACGAATTTTTTTTAATTGTAAAATTATTGAAAAACGTCAATAACTTTTTTTTAAATAAATATTTAATCATTCTTATTTTTCGATAGGAATTAATATTTTTCAAAATATTCAAAATGAAACCTTTTTAAAATTCAATAACTTATAATAATTTAAATTTCCATAAAATTATCCAAAAAAATTAAATTGTTCACAAAAATTTTAATAAAAAACCCTTCGCAAGAATTCAATTATTTTTACAAGTAATAAAATTTTTCATAGGATTTCAATTATTTTTAATACAATTTTAAATAAATTCTTCAAAAAATGTAATTATTTTTAAAACTTTTTTTGCAAGAATTCAATTACATTTTACAAATAATAAAATTCTTCGCTGAAATTCAAATATTTTCAAAATCTACTATTTTAATAAGAGTTATCAAAAGAATTCAATTATTTAAAACAAAATATAATCAAATTCGTTGAAAGAATTCAATTACTTTCATAAATAATAAAATTCTTCACAGAATTTCAATTATTTTCAAAAATTTTAAAAAGAAATTCACGTCAACATTTCAATCATCTTTATAATTTTATATCTTCGCAGAAATTCAATTATTTTCAGGAATTTTAATAAAATTCATTGCAAAATTCAATTATTGTTATAAATAAAATATTCATCACGCGAGAATTCAATTATTTTTAAAATTAATAAAATTCTTCATATAAATTCAAATATTTTAAAAAAAATTTTAAATTAAAATTTTAGTCAAAATTTCAATTATTTAAAAGAAATGTAATAAAATTCATGTCAAAAATTCAATTATTTTTATAAATAATAATGTTCTTCTTGCGATTTCAATTATTTAAAAAAAATAAAATAAATAATAATAATAATAAAAATTCGTTGCAAATTATTTAATTATTTTCGGAAATAATAAAATTCTTCACAGGATAATGTTCATGTTCATATTTTATAATAAGTTCTTTGAAAATTTTCAAATCTATTTGTTTATAATTCAATTTTTCCAATTTTTATAAAATCTTGAAATAATTTTAAAAAATTTCGATTAAGCTTTTTGAAAAAAATTAGTTCCAAAGAACTTTTAATTGAAAGTATGAAAAATTCAAATTTTCAATGATTTTAATTTGAAATCTTTACAAAATTCAATTATTTCTTTAAATTCACGATATAATGCTTTGAATATTCAATTATTATCTAAAATTGAATAATTGAATGTTTCTTAAAATTCAATTATCATAAAGAAATTTATCAACAAATTTTGTAAATAATTAATTGAAAATAACTGAATTCCTGTGAAAATTTTTATTAATATTTTTAAAAAAATTGAATTTCTGTGAAGAATTTTATTATTTCTTAAAAATAATTGAATTTGCGCAAAGAATTTTATTAAAAGTTTTGAAAATAATTCAATTCTTGAGAAGAATTCAATTATTTTTCGAAAATAATTCAATTCCAATAAAGAATTCAATTCATTTTAGTAAATAATTTAATTCCTGTGAAGAATTCAATTATTTTTCGAAAATCATTGAATTAAGGAAAATTTTTGAAAATAATTGAAATTTTACCAAGAAATTTATTCAAATTTTTGGATAATAATTGAAATTCAGAGAAGAATTTTATTATTTTCAAAGATAATTGAAATTTTCACAAAATCTTTTTTCAATGTTTCTTTTTTAATTTTTGCTATTCAAAAATATTGATTTTCTGCAGACTGAAAAATTTCACTCTTTTCTGATTCGAAAATTTCTCTTTTCTACCATTTAAAAAAATATTCTAGTTTCAAAATATTTTTTATACCTACATATTTAAAAAGTAGAAATTTTTTAAATAATAAAAAGTAAAAAATGAGAAAAAAGTTTCATTTTTAAATATAAAAATTTGAAGAATAAAATAAGAAATAATTAAGAAAGAAAAATTACCTCGTCGAAGAAGTATCCAAATTACTCTGTCCATCGTCCTTAATTTCAATTTTCAAATTCGCCGCATCCTTGACGTCTTTATTCTCCTTATTTTCTTTATTCGCCTCTCTCGCGTCCTTTGCACTCACAACTGACGCCAAACTAACAACATTCGACGACATTGTACTCGTGGTACTCAAAAAATTCGACGAACTCGTCATTGTCGTTGAAGGCAATGTTGTCGCTGTTGTTGTTGTTGCTGTTGACGCTGACGATGTTGTCGTCGTCGTTGTTGACGTCGTTGTTGTCAATGTTGAATTTGTCGACTCCGCCAATGAATTTGTACTTGTATTTGTCATCGAATTCGCTGAACTTGTACTCGTTATTGACGTGGAAACGTTTACAGTCAATGATGATGATGATGTTGACGTTGCCGCCGCCGCTGCTGCTGCTGCTGATGATGATGATGATGAATTTGTCGTCGTTGTCGTTGTTGTTGTAGACGTTGACGTTGTCGTCGACGTTGATGCAGCGGCAGAAGCAGCAGCCGACGACGAAGACGTTGTTGTCAACGTTGACGTTGTCACTGTCGTTGACGCCGTCGATAAATTATTCTGCGGATTCTCCTGTGTCTTTTGCTGTTGCTCACGTTGAAGCCTCGTTGTCACTCCCGTCGATAGAATATCAATCGGTCCGATCGTCGAATTACTATTATTAACCTGGTGGGACGAGAGTTTTTTTTTACATTTTTTATAACATTTTTTTTAAATAAATCAAGTAAAAAAGGAAAGGAGTAAAACCAAGAAGCAGAGAATGAAAAAAGAAAGTAAAAAATTAGAAATAAAAAAGAAAACAAATAAGACAAAAATTTATCATTGATTGATTTTGTCTTGATTTTATTTAAAAATCAAGAATTTAAAAATTAAAAATTAACAAATAAAAAATTAAAGAAAGAAGTGGAAAAAATAAGGAAAATAATAGAAAAAGAAATAAAAGAAGGAAACAAACTTAAAAATTATGAAGAAATTTGATAAGAAAAATAAGAAATGAAAAACTAAACAGCAAAAAAAAAGAAGAAAAAATAGACAATTTTTAATGAAAAATTATATTAAGAAAACAAAAAGAAGCGAAAACTAAGATACGAGATAAAAAAGAGAAAAAAAAGTAAATTTTTCAAATGAAAATAAATATAAAACCGAAACAAATTAAAAATAAAAATAAAAAAAGAAACAAAATCTATTAAAACGAAAAAAATAAATATAAATAAGAAAAAATGTAAATTTATAAATAAAACGTAAATAAAAAATAAAAAAATTAAACGACTGAAAAAATAAAACAAGAAAAAATAAAATTTAAAGAACGAAATAAAAAATAAAAATGAAAATGAAAATTTTCAAACAAAAAATGAAAAATAAAAAACTAAATAAAAATTAAGAGAAGAAAATAGAAATTAATAGAAAAATTTTAGTCGTAAAATTAGAATAAAAAAATAAAAAATAATCAAATCGATAAACAGGAAGGAAATCAAAGAAGAAAAGAAGAAAAGTCAGGAAGCAGAAAATAGGAAAGAAAATAAATAAAAATAAGAAATTAAAAAAGAAAAAAAGAGATTAAAATAGAAATTAAACAACAAAGTAAAAAATCAAGAGTTAAATTTTTAAAAATACAAAATCGACAAATAAAAAATAAAGAAGTCGAAAAAATTAAAGAAAAAAAAACGAATCAAGAAAATAAAGAAAATAATAATAAAAAGAAAAAAATGAAGTAAAGAATAAAAAGTGGAAATTTTTTCAATTAAAAATAAAAATACAGACAAAATTTTTAAAATAGAGAACAAATTAAAAAAATATATAAATAAAAAGAAAAAAACGAACTGAGGAAGAAAATAGAGAAATACAGAAAAAAGAGTTTAAAAAGAAATAAGAAAAAAATATAAAGAAAAGAAGAAAATTTCAAAACTAAAATTAAAAAAATACAAAATTTAACAATAAAATAACAGAATGAAAGAAACGAAATAAAAAAGGGAGAAAAAGTGTAAATTTAAAAATAAAAACTAAAGAAACCATAACGAATAAAAGAAGAAACTAAATAATAAAACAAAGAAGAAAAAATGGAAATTTTCAAATGTAAGTAAAATAAAAATAAACAAAATAAACAAAAAAAAGTTTAAAGAAGAAAAAACGAAAAATTTTAAATGAAAAAAGACAAAATGAATAAGGAAATAAAGAAGGAAATAAAAAATAAAAAAATTTAAAAAAGAAAATAGAGAACGAGATTAAAAATTTTCAAATCAAAAATTTTATAAATTAAAAGTCAACAAACAGAAAATAAACCAAAAAAAAGTATAAAAATTGAGGGGAAAAAATATTGAACGAAATAAAAAGAAAGCGGGAAAAATTTAAAATTTAAGGAAAATATATAGAAAACGAACTAAAAAAGTATCAAATAAAATATAAAATAGACTAAAGGAGTATAAAGTACGAATTAAAATAAAGAAACGAATTTAATAATAAAAATAAAAATAAAAGAAAATATAGACATTTTTATATGAAAAGTAAAGAACAAAACGAATTTAAAAAATAAATAACGAAATAAAAAGCGAACTTCAAAAATAGCAAAAGATTCAAAAATTAGAAAATTCAATAGAAAATAAAATTAAAAAATAGGCATAATAAAAAATAAATAATTGAAAAGTAAAAAATAGAAATAAAAAAGAAAGAAAATGAAAAATAGAAAATAGAAAATATGTAGAAAAATAGAAATAAAAAGAATGGAAATTGAAAATTAAAAAAGGAAGATAGAAAAGTAGAAATTAATTTTAAAAAGAAAAATAAAATTGAAAAATTTACCTTATTATTAGGATTGTTTCTAGAACGAATTCGCCGTGACCTACGAAGAAGCTGTTTATAATTTTCCGCTTTCTTTGTGAGGTAGTAATGATGCACGCAATCCGGCACTGATTTATGATCAAACGATTGGCCAATAGCGCCAAAATTTTTCGGGTGCGAAATATATTTTTCCTTAAATAATTCATGTTCAATTGAACTCCAAACATTTATTAATTTTCTCTCGCTATGTAAACCCTCAAGTTCTTCTGGTTGCAATAAACCATTACGATTTTGAAACGCAATTCTCCTTTGTTTTGAATCCAATAGTAATGGCGGTATCACTGCGTACGAACGCATTTTCTTATCCTCCATCTGTAAAAAAAGAAATAAGAAAAAAAAAGACAATAAAATATTGTTAAAAAAAAAAGAATTCTCGACACACATTTTCTTTTGATTCGAAAAATAAAAAAAAAAATTCCCTTGAGAACAAAAAATTGTAATTTTTTTTTTTCAAAGAAGAACAAGAAACAAAAAATGTATTTTTCTTTTCTAAAAAGCTCGAAGGCAAGTTATTTGGATGCGAACGAGTATTTTTCATTCTTAATATATAGCAAAAGCTGTTTTTCCTAAATTGATTAAGAAAAAAAAAATTATAAAAATGTATTCTTTTTACTTTACTGAACATATTTTCCATTTTATTTTGCATTTGTATTTTTTTTCTATCCATTTCTCTAATTCTATACTTATTTTACTTTAATTTTTGAAAATTATTGTTTAAAAATAAAATTTCAAACTTTATATTATATTTATTATTATTATTTATAACATTTTATTTATATGTAAAATTTTTATTATTATTTATAAAATTTTGTTTTCACTATTTATATAAAGTAACAACTGAAAAAAATATACTTTTAAAAATTTTTCTAAACCGAATGAAATATTTTTAAGGAGATTAAAAAAAATACGAATAGAAAAAATTCACAGCCCTGAATAATTCCATTAGAAAAAAACCAGAATTTTATTTATTAATAAACAAAACATCTTTTCCTGTAATGGAGCTTTCAAATAGAATCTATTTTCACTAAATTTACTATTTTTTCTAGTAATACTTTTTTATTTAAATACTTTTTTCCTTTTGGCAATTTGGAATAATTTTAATAATTTTAATAATTTTTTAACAATTTTGTCTTTAATTTTAATAATTTTTTCTTTTTATTTTTTTTGTCATTTTTTTTCTTTAATTTTTTTTTAAACCATCATAAGAAGAGTGAAAAGAGGAATTTGTTCATTCTTTACTAACCTGACGGGCTTTAATGGAATTTTTTAACTCTGTCGACAATTCTTCCTGGGAAATCAGATAAGAGAGAAAATCTTCCATGAAGTGTCCATAAAAAATATATTTTCTTACATATTATTATTATTATTATTATCATTTTTGTTGTTCACTATTTTATTTTTCCTCAAAAAAAAATAAGAAAATAAAATCAATTTTTTTACAAGGCAACAAAATTTTTTGTAAATCATTCAAAATTTAAAAAAAAAAAATTAGTGTAAAAAAAAGAAAAACAGAATTTATTATTTAGAAAAAATAAAAAATTTCTGTTAATTTAAAATTTTAATTCTTTTTTAATTTGTCTTAAAAAAAAAATTGCTTTATTATTATCAGTTGGTATATTTCAATCTTCTCCAGGCAATTTGTCCGGATCACTTTCTTCCTGACCAGCACTTGGTAGGAGAATGTGAAGGTAATTCTTTTTACCTAAATCTAACGAGAACCAAGATTTTTTTTTACCAACTGTGCATTTTACAGAAAGCTTTTTACCATGAAAGCATTTTAATAATGAAAAATTATTCATATAGAAAAAAAATAATTATGAAATTTCAATCGATACAGAAAACAAGAAATTTGTTACAGAAGAATTTTGAAAATGGAAAACAATTAGAATTCTGAAAATTCAAATGTGACAAAAGAATTTTAATTGTTGAATAAAAAAAATTCACTGTATTTGTAAAATTTACAATTTGCAAAATTAACTTTACGCAAAATTTAAATATTAAATAAAAAATTTCACTAAATTTGTAAAATTTACTCTTTGAAAAAATTTATTATTTGTAAAATTTTTTATTTAAAAAAATTACTACCTATTTCAAAAATTTTCTATTTTAAAAATTTACTATTTCAAAAATTTACTTTTTGAAAAATTTACTATTAAAAAAAGAAATATTTTTCTTCTTATCAGAAACAAACGAATTAATCAGTCAATAAAAAAATCCAATAAAGAAATAAAATAAAATAAACCAATTTTTGAATAAAAAACATAATCATCAATTAAATTGAAAAATTATTTTGAAAACAATAAATTATTTATATAAAAAAACAAAAATAATTATTCAATAAAGAATTAATTATTCAACAAGGAATTAATCATTCAATTAATTATTCAAAGTATTAATTAAATATAAAATAAAAATCAATTAAATACTCAAAAAAGAATTGATAATTTAATTACTTAATAACGAACTAATTAATAATTCAGTAAGAGAATTAATTAATAATTCAATACAGAATTAATTAATCGTTTAATAAAGAATGAATTATTGAATTAAGATTAATTTTAATATTAAACGAAAAATCAATCACTTATTCAATAAGAAATTTTTTAATTCTATCAAAAAAAAATTTAATTAATAGAAAATTGATTAATTTTGTTTTCTATTCAAAAAGAATTTTAAGTTAAAAATTTCGAATTGTCTCTTGAAAACTTTCCGTTTTTGTCATTAAAATGAAATTTTATTTAAAAAATTGTCAATTTTAAAAAAGAAAAAATAATTTATTTTACTTGATGAAGCGTGAAAACAGTTTTTTTTTCTTTCAATGAAAAGCTGTGTATGATTAGCAATTTTGTGAGTAAAAGCCTCAAGCTGTTAGATTGTGATTCAAATATTTGGTGCAAGTCAAGAAAAAGAATTCCTTTTTTTCCCCTTTTAGTCACAAAAGATTAAAATAAAAAAAAATTTTTTCTCACAAAAACATAAAAAAAAACTTTGAAGAAAAAAACAAATAAAAAAAAATTTAGCAAAAACAATATTTTCTTTTTTTTTGTTAGTTCAAAAACCAAAAAAATTCACACTTACGAATTATTATCTTTTTTTTTATGTGAAAATTGCAATTCTCATTTTTTTCTCATTTTCAGTGAAAATGAAGTTAAAAATTACAAAATCAAAATTGAACATTCAAGCCAGTTTTAAATTTTCATTGGAATTCTAAATTTAAAAATTAGAATTCTAAATGTGGAAATTTGAATTCTAAATGTGGAAATTAGAATTCGAAATGTGGAAATTAGAAAACTAAATGTGAAAATTACAATTCTAAATAAAAGGTTTACAATTTTAAACGAAAAGATTACAATTTTAAAAATATTTTTAAAGCAAAATGTTTCAAAATGGATATTATAACTATAATATTATTATATTATTATAATAATAAAATTATTATAATTCTTTTATATTGTTTTATAACTTCTTATTTTGTAAATAAATAAATTTCTAATAATTTAAATTCTAAAAAATTACAATTTTTATCGCAATCTTCAAACTATTTAAAATGTAAAAATTAAAAATCAAATTTCCGAATTTAATAAATTAATTTTAGAAAAATTAATATTCTACGAGAATAACAAGTTTCACATTATAAAAATACGGAAATATCCATTCCCCCAAAGAGAGAAATTTCATGTTTTTTCTCCTTTCTTTCAAGTATAAATATAAATCTATATTTATATTTTCTTTTTGTTAATTAAAATAATCCAAAGCTCCAAGACGGAAAAACACAAATGCTTTTTTCATTCTCAAAAAGTTATTAAGAAAACTTGTTCAGAAGGGAATAAAGCCCTGGAAACGGATAAAAAATCAAGAAAAGAATTTTTTTTTCTTGCAAAAAAGAAATTCTTTTTTTCTGCAAGATTCTTTAAAAAAAAATTGTGAATAATGCTTTTGAATAATGGGACGAAATTTTCTCATTTCAGAGAAAACAAAGTTTCCTAATTATTTTCTTTGAAACAAAAAAAAATATTTTTCTATATTAAACAAATAAATAAAGTTGAAATAAAAATAAAATAAACATAGGTTTTGAATTTTTGACAAAAAAATTATTTAATTTTATTTAACCAAAAAATTATTTCATTTTGATTACTTAACAAAAACACTATTCTATTTTGAATATTAAACGAAAAAATTATTCCATTTTGATTATTTAACGAAAAAATTACTCCACTTTGATTATTAAACGAAAAAATTACTCCAAATTTTGATTATTTATCGAAAAAATTATTCTATTCTTACTTAACGAAAAAAAAATTTCTATTTTGATTTTTTTACTCCAAAATTTCTTCTTTTCTTGATTTTTTAAAATACAAAAAATATTTTTTTTCTCATTCGAAAACAAAATCTATGAGAAGAAATCAATATTTATTCTATGATTTTCTTTTCTTTTCCGATTTTTCCAGAATTCTACTGACTTCTATATATATTAACTCACCTTCTCGCTTTTAAACCATCTTCTTAGTATTAAAATAAAAACCAATATTTTTTATCAGAAAAAAAAATAAATAAAAAAGAAGAAGAAGTGGTTAAAATTCAAAAAAATTCACATTCCAAATGATGAATCATCAAAATCTAATAATTTGCAATGTTTAAAAAGCAAACGATCGTTTATCTTATTTTCTTATCGTTCTCTCTCTTTCTTTCTCTCAAAAGAAAGAGAGAAACAAAAAATATAGAGAAAAATGGTCAACAAAATAAAAAAATTATCGTAAAAACATTTTTCCTCCTCTATTTATTTTAATTTTTTTTTACTTTTGTTTTGAAATTTAATTCTTTTGATTTTTTTTTTAAATTTCAACTTTTCTTCGTTTTTCAAATTAAATGAAAAACCCGAAAAATTTGTTTTTAAGAAATTGTACTTTAGAAAATGAATTTGATAATTGAAATCGAATTCGATTTGTGTTAAATACAGAAATTAAATGAATGACAATTAAAAATGAAATTAAAAAACTTCATTAAAATTAAATTCGAATCAAATTAACTAAATTGAAAAATTCATTCAAATTCGAATTCAATTCGAATTTTGTTAAATAAGTAAATTAAACGAATATGAATTGAAAAATTTAATTAAAATTAAATTCGGATCAAATTTTAACTAAATTGAAAAATTCATTCAAATTCGAAATTGAATTCAATTCAAATTGTGTTAAATAAGTAAAAATGAATGTGAATTGAAAAATTTAATTGAAATCGAATTCGAATCAAATTAAACAAATTGAAAAGAATTAAAGAATACTTGGAAAATAATTGAAGAATAAAAAAATACTTTTCTTTATAAACATTGCAAAAAATTAACTCTTCTTCACATAAATTAAATATGTGTAGTTTTTCCTTTCATTTTTTTTGTGAGTGATTATTATTATTTAAAAAATACCTCCTGCTCCTGAAGACCATCCATAATTTCCTCGAGATCAGCTTCACTCTTGATACGAGCACCAACACGATTAAAACGTTCTTTATCTTCCCTTTGCTTTCGTAATTCGGGAAATACTTTTTCAAAGAAATCCCGATTTTTAGCCTCTTTTGTTTTTCGTTTTTGCGTTGATTCAGCGCGTTCAACTTTACGATGCCATTCCTGAACGAGAACGGCATAGGTTTGCGATTGTTTCCGATGAAGTGAAGCACGATCACCATGTTCACGTTGCAGCCTCAATATTAATTTTGGCCTTACAATTGCATGATGCCTCTCTCTATTCTCCTGATAGACAATCGTGTCCGATGGCTGATTATACAATGGAAGTTCGACTTTTGGTCCAAGTCTGTCTAATACGCGATGCGCCTCTTCCGCTTTTTTCTACAAATTAATAATAATTAGATGAGAAAATTCATTTTCATTTAATTTACACACAACAAAAATTATTCTCTATTATTCTAATTTTTATTTCTAAATTAAGATTTTCAAAAATTTCAAAATTTCAAAATTATTTTTGAACATTTTTGAAATTAAAAAATTCGGAGTAATTGTTATCTTTATGTTTCATAATAATATTCTTATAAATTATTATAAAACATGAAGATGACGATTACTTCGAGTCTTCGACTCGGAGTGATCAATTTCTTCATGTTTTCTAATAATTAAAGACGAAAAAGTTCTTTGAGAATTTTGAAATCCATTTGTTTACAATTCAATTTTAAGAAATTTCATCCATTATTCAAAAATTCTTCAATTATTCCATATCAGAAAATAAAAACTTCAAATAATTTCAAAAAAAAATTCAATTAAACTTAATCAAAAAAATTAGTTCTACAGATTTGTTAGTGAAAATTATGAAAAATTCCCATTTTCAAAGATTTTGATTTGAAACCTTTTCGAAAATTCAATTATTTCGAAAAATCCCCTCTATAATGCTTTTAATATTCAATTATAAAATTTTAACTGAAATTCATTTTTAAATCAATTTTTATAAAAATAATCTACGAGAATTCTACAAGAGAAAATTCTAGGAGAATTTTTAAACACAAAAATAAATAATTTAATGTTTCTTAAAATTGAATTCTCATAAAAGATTTTATCAACAAATTTTTAAATAATTAAATAATTCTTTCGACGAATTTTAATAAAATTTTTAAGAATAGTTTCACATTTCGCGAAATTTGATTAAAATTGTATTAAAAATAATTGAAATTCCGCTATGAGTTTTGTTATTTATGAAAATAATTGATTTTCTAAAAAGAATTTTATTATTTATGAAAATAATTGAATCTCTTTAAAATTTTTTATTTTTTTGAAAATAATTGAATCACTGCAAAGAAATTTCATAAAAAATTTGTAAATAATTGAATTCTTGTGAAATTTTTATAATTTATAAAAATAATTTAATATTTGCGTAGAATTTTATCAAAACAAAAAAATCAATTCTACAGAATTGTTAGTTAGAAATATTAAAAATTCAAATTTTTAAAGATTTTGCTGTTGAAAATTTTTTTTAAAAAAAATTTTACAAGTATTCAATTATTTAAAATAGAAAAATAAATAAGTTATTGAATAATTGAATTCTCATAAAGAAATTTATCAACAAAATTTTTAAATAATTAAATTCTTTCGACGATTTTTAATAAAATTTAATCCTCGTAAAAAATTTATTATTTACGAAAATATTTGAATTATTGCAAAGAAATTTATAAAAAAATTAATAAAAAAATTTATAAATATTGAAATTTTTAATATTTATGAAAATAATTAAATGTTTGCGTAGAAATCAAATATTTTCAATTTTCATACAATTTTTATAAAACTCTTCTCTGAAATTAAATTATTTAAAAAATTTTTAAGAAAATTCTTTGCGAAAGTTAAATTATTTTCATAACTAAAAAAAATTCTTTTATAATTGAATATTTTAGTGAAATTGAAATAAAAATTTGTTTGAAAATAAAATTGAACTGACGCAAATAATTTTAATATTTACAAAAATAATTAAATTATTCTCAAGAATTTTATTTAAAATATTAAAAGTAATATACAATTATTTTATGATATTTATGTAACTAAAATTGTATTAAAAATAATTGCATTTGTAGGAAGAATTTTATTATTTATGAAAATAATTGAAAACTTGTGAACATTTTTATTAAATATTTTTGAGAATAATTTTATTTTATAAAGAAATTTTATTGAAAAGAATTTAATTTCAGAGAAAAATTTTATTATTTATGAAGATAATTGAAATGTCATTATTTTTCGAAGATATTTCGAATTTTCTGAAATTTTCAATTGAAAATATTGAAAATTATTATCAAAAAAATTCTAAGAATTATTAGTTTTCTCAAAAATTGAAAATTTGAGATAATAAATTATTCCTAATAATTTAGAATTAATTCAAAAAATTCTTCGGGACTTTAATTATTTAAATACAAAAATTGAATTTTTCTTTGACAAAATTTCAAATTTAAGATAAGAAATTAATATAATTTAAAAATAATTCCGAAAATTCTTCGGAAATTTAATTATTTAAATACAAAAATTCAATTTTTTTTTGTAAAAATTGTAATTCTGTAACTTGAAATCTTTTCTTTTTAAAGTTTATAAAATGAAAAAAAGAAAATTTATCATATTTCCTTACTCTATTATCGGCGTAAATTTTTTGCGCCGGCGATTGATGCTTGGGCTGTTGCGATTGTTCCTCGACAGGTCGTTTAAGACCTTCGGCCTCAAGAGATTTATTCGCCGTTTCTTCAAGTTGTTTCATTTTTTTTCTAAGTTTACTGATTTGCGTCTCCCTCTTGGCAATTTCACGATCGACTTTTCCAATTTGCTGAAGGAGTTCGTCTTTCGTTGTTCGAAATTGCGCGTCCTCCTGTGTATTTGGCTCAGGAGTTGGCGATATCGCTTCCGTTTGGGGCACATAACTTCCCTGCACCGGCTGCTCCTTGCAAAAAGATAAAAGAAAAAGGTAAAGAAAAAAGTAAAAAAACAATGTTTTTTTAAACTTTTTCAAAGGAAATTATTATTTTAATTTAAATCACATTTTTAATAAAAGGCAAAAATTTTCTGTTTTAAACAATTAATATTTATTTGATATTTTTTCTATTATTTATTACCACTTCCACTACTTATTTCTTTTTTACTTATTTCTTACTTCCACTATTTATTTTATTTTTTTTATTTACCTACTTCTATTATTTATTTTCTGTCCCTAATTTTTTTCTATTATCTTCTTTTATTTCTATTATATTTATTCTATTATTAATTTTTTGCAATTTATTTTTTACTTTCACTATTTATTATTTCGTTTATTATTTTTTATTAAGACTTACTGATTTTTTTTGTTCATTTAATATCATTCATAAACCACAATTTCAAAAAAATTTCAAAAGGGCAGTAAAATATGTTTATAATTAAAAATAAAAAAAAATGTAACCGAAATAATATTAATAAAGATACTTTTATAATGTTTTTTATTACTTTCATTATTTTTTCATTACTTTTATTATATTTTTTATCACTACCATTATTTCTTTTATTACTTTTATAATTGTTTTTTATATTTTTTTCTGCTTTTAATAAAAACTACGTTTGTAATATTTACTAAATAACTATAAATAGATAAATAGATATAAATAAATAAACAGGAAAATAAGAAGTTAAACAAAAAAAACTAGAAAAAATAAATAAATAGAAAAATAAAAAGTTAAACAAATAAATAAAAATAAAAACTTGCAATAATTTAAAAAAATTCCAATTGAACATTTTCAAAAATATTAATTCTACAGAATTGTTAATTAAAAGTATGAAAAATTCAGATTTTCAAAGATTTTAATTTGAAATCTTTTTGAAATTAAATTATTTCTAAAAATTCACTAAAAATTCAATTATTCTAAAAATATTCAATTATTATCGAAAATTTTGACTCAAATTCATTTTCAAATCAATTTTATCAGAAAATTATATACGAGAATTCAATTATTTAAATACAAAAATAAATAATTTCTTAAATAATTGCATGTTTTTTGAAATCGAATTCTCAAAAAGAATTTCATCAACAAATTTTTAAATAATTGAATTCTTTCAACGAATTTTCGAATTTATTTCGATGAAATTAATAAATTTTAATAAAACTTTTAAGAATAATTACATTTTTCGAGGAATTCCAATAACATTGTACTAAAAATAATTGAAACTCTGCGATGAGTTTTATTTATTTATCAAAATAATTTAATTCCTAAAAAGAATTTTATTATTTATGAAAATAATGGAATTATTGCGAAGAAATTTATAAAAAAAATTTGTAAATAATTGAATTCCTGTGAAATTTTTACTATTTATAAAAATAATTGAATTATTGCGAAGAAATTTATAAAAAAATTGTAAATAAGTGAATACCTTTGGAATTTTTATTATTTATAAAAATAATTGAATTATTGCAAAGAAATTTATTAAAAATTTTGAAAATAATTGAACTGCGAAGAAGAATTTTATTATTTATAAAAGATAATTGAAAATTCGACGAGAATTTAAAAAAATTTTTTGAACATAATTGAATTTCTACGAAGAATTTTATTACTTTTGAATATAATTGAATTTCTGCAATCATTTCTAACTTCTTCAAAATTCAATTATTTTTAGTATTTTTAACTAAAATTCTTCTATAAATCCATTATTATTTTGTAATACAATTTTAATCAAATATTAAAAAATAATTTTTACGAGAATTTAAAAAAATTTTTTGAACATAAATAGAAAAATGTAAAGGTTTTTTTATCAGAATTCGTGGTAATTTCATAGTTTATAATTCAAACAAAAAAGACACAAAAAATTCTGAATTTTCTTATGAATTCTAATATTTTTAATTTTTTCCAGTACTTTTTATAAAAATCCCTGACTTTTCCCTGATTTCTCTGACCAGTTACACTTTCCCTGATTTTTCCCTGACCTGTGGCAACTCTGATAAATAATTATGGAAAAAAATTAATTTATATTTAAAATTGATTTTAATCAGTGAAAAAATAGTCTTTAAAATTATCTTCAGTTGCACGGTGAGATTCTAATTGGGGAAAAAGTGCGCCAAAGCGAAATTTTGATATAAAAATACTAAACTTTAAAAAAACTTATGTGAAATTTGGACTAAATTTTTTATATCAAAATTTCGCTTTGGCGCACTTTTTCCCCAATTTTGAAAATACTTTTACAAAATTTAATATATATTCTCTCTTCGTGTAGTAGAAAAATAATCTACAATTAAATTAATTTTAATTACTTAAAAAATTAACTGCCATTAATATTATGTTTACTCAGTGTAAAAATGAACTCCCATTGAAATTAATTTTAATTAACGAAAAAATGAATTTTCCTCTCAAGAAACCATAAGAAGAGAAAAACTTCTTTTTTATTTTTCTTTTCATTTTGCCATTTCACGATACCCACCCTCGTGTCTATCCTCAATGGCTGTTGAATTTGTTGCACGTGCTCCTGCTGAACAATTGTCTCGGTGGGCATTAAATTTTGACATTGCATTTGGACTTGCGATTGTGCGGTGGCAGGTTGTTGTCCAAGGCGTATTTTCTTGAATGGCGGAGCATCGGACATTGTGACAATATCAACAGTTGAATTGCCACGATTGCCGCAATATTGTTCCGATTGTATTGGTATCACAGTGCGTTGATTTCTTGCCGATGCGACGGGATATTCGGATGCTGTTGGCGAGGCCGTTGACGCCGCCGTTGCGGCAGGTGTTGAGAGCAACGATATCCTCGGCCTCTCGGCACGATTCGTCACCACATACTCGCCAGAAGCATTGACACTAACACCAAGACCGACGCCCACTTGGGACACGGGATTACTGCTCACGCTGATTGCCACTCGGTCATTCACCTGTGACAAAAAAAAAATAATAATTAAAAATTAAATACAAAAAAAAATTATCTTCAATTCGCTAGTTTAATTAATCTAATATTTTAATTTAATGCTATTATTAAAAATTGCAGACTAATTTCTGATAATTTTCCTTTTTCTATCACTGAATGCTATAAAAACCAATTTAATTCAATTTTAAAGCTTTTTTAAAATTATTTTTATAGTTCAATTTATAATTTATTGCGTTTATTACGGAAAAAGTCGGTAACATAACCTCAAAAAAGAATAATATTGTTTTTGATTCGATGTGTTGATTTCCAACACATGTTAATTATATTTGTTACTTTCTCAAATTTTCCCAATTTTCTAAAAAGGATAATTTGAAACTGTAACTTTTCTTTTCAATTTTCCAAATTTTCTAAAAAGAACTTTGCCACAGTGGCAGTGTTGATGTCGTTTCGAAAACTGTTTTCTTATTGTCATTCGTTTTGCTGCCGCAGAGCCGCAAGGTTGGCAACAGTGTTTAAATACCCTAGAGTCCTAATGTCGATAACATAACCTCAAAATAAAATAATATTAACGAAAAAAATAATTAAATAATTAATAAAAGAAACTACTGAAACTAAAAAAATATAACCTCTAAATAAAATAATACGAAAATATAAATATAATATAAATAACAAAACAGAAATAAAAAAGAAACATAATTTCAAAGCAAATGAACAAAACTTCGATTATTTAGAAACAAGAGTTCTCTGTTCCTGCGAATTAAATTACCAGTTTCTAGCCTTTTCGAAAAGGAAAAAAAACCCGTATTAATTTTAACTACCACCCACCCTTTTTATTCTTTAAACCAACAAAATACGATAATAAGAGAGGCGTTATTGATCTATAAATATTCAGGTCAATCAAGAATTGAATCATCGCCATTCCTCTCTAGTGTGCGTGTGTGTGCAAAACTATCGTCATCATTTTACGACAAAAATCTCACAACCGCGGTAATGACTTGAAAATCGCGCGTTGTTTTGACGCTAGGAGGGGGCGGGAGTGAGTGAGAGAGAGAGAGAGAGAAGCGGCGGCGATGAATAAAAAGGAGAGGAGAGAAGGGGGACAAACGAGGCAAAAGCTTTACACCGCGAGTGGGTGAAGACAACTTTCACCCGCCCACACGACTATCTATATCATGGTCGGTCTAACATTACGACTATTAGTTACAGGCCATTGTTACGGGTTAAAGTTTCCGTCATGTCGACGAAACAAAAAAAAAAATAACAAAATAGAAAAAAATTTTTTAAAAAAAGATAGAAAAATCTAGACAAGGTTTTAGCCCAGGAACATTCCGTAATTGTAAAAAGAAGTTCGATAAGGTCACACACAAAAAAAAATCTATTCTATTTTTCTTTTTCTCGATAATAAAAATAAAATAGGTTTCGTCCCTGAGACGATATTTGACTTCCTAAATTATTAGATATTCAAAACATTCTTTACACAAAACCAAGACAAGATCTATAAACAGAGAATTTTTTTTCCCGAACATAACCTAAAAACAATTCTCAGAAGATTAAATTTTAATTGCAGAAAAAAGACTACAAAAAAATTACTGTTGTTAAAATGAAAAAAGTTTAAATAAAAATTTTAAAAAAATGACTTTAAACGATTCTTAAAGTGGTAAAATTAGAAATAAATTATAAAATCTAAAATTTGTTCATTATTATACATAAGTGCTATTTAATAATAACTCAATAATTTAATGCCGACTCTCGATTTTAAACGTTTCAAGTATTTAATAACAACGTGAGTTGGTAATGATTCAAAATTGGTTGGATACTTCATTATTCAGTGTGGTTTATATATACTTTCCATTTTCAAACACAATCTCAGAATTTAACTTCACGTGTTCTATATATAATGTACTTATAAATCAAGTATCTCCTTAAAGTCCAGGAAAATTACCTTGAAGCGTTTCTAGTTTTCAAATGCCATTTAAAGTTATTTTAGAATTCACTCGACGATTCCAGTTATTAAAGGAAAGAAATTACATTTTTTTTCCTACCCTTTTTTTTAAAAGTATAGAATTTGATTTGATTCTCGAAACAATATACCGTATTTGTAATTTTTTTCCCCGTTTCTCTTTATTCTCAATTATTTTCCACTTTTTTTGTTATTTTTATTTTTTGATTATTTTTTTTAGGTTATGTTCGTTTATTTCAATTTTTTCTGCTACAGGGTTGCCAATTATTTAACTATAAAAATAAATATTTTATCAAATGATTGAATGTTTTTTAAAATTGAATTTTTATAAAGAATTTTATCAACAAATTTTTAAATAATTGAATTCTCTTGACAAATTTAAAAAAAATTTTAAGAATTATTTCTTTTTTTGAAGTTCATCTACTTATGAAAATTGTAAATGCAACTCTTTTAAAATTCAATTAATTTTGAAATATTTAAGTAAAATTAGATTTTAAGAATATAAAAGCACAATAACTTCAGAAAACAACAATTTTCCAGGAATTCGATCAAAATTCCCTGACTTTTCCAGGTTTCTGAAGGTTTATAAAATTCCCTGACATTTCCAGGTTGCATGTCAACCCTGTGCTATATAATTAAAATTAATTTCTTTTCCCCTTGTTCAAAAAGTCTTTGTTTTTGTGTCGCTTTCCGGCACATGTTAAATTTTCCAAATTTTCTAAAAAGAACCTTTGCCACAGTGGCAGTGTTGATGGCAGATCGAAAACTAATGATTTTCTTATTCATTGGTTTTTGATGCCGCAAGGTTGGCAACAGTGTTTAAATACCATAGACCTTGAATGAATTAGGGAGAAAAGAATGAGTTTGCTGCACCCTCCTTTTGCGATTATAAATCACCAATTCTTCTCCTGAACAAAAGATTTCTTTTTAATTAATTAGCCTACAAGTTTTTAATCAAGTAATTATTTTAGAAAGAGTTGGAAATGGGTGTAAAGCTAAAAATAGATGAAATTTAAAAAAAAAAAGAGAGAGAGAAGGTGATGTATACATACCCTGGTATATGCGGCTGCCGCACCCGGGGGAGGTGGTGTTTGATTAACGGGTGCGGATGGCGCGGGCAACGGTGGAGGCAGGTAAGGATGGACATATCGAAGCCCTGCGGGTACGGGGACGGCGACAAAGCCTCCACCGGTTGTGGCAGTGACCGCCGAAACCGCCACGGCTGCAGTTCCACCGGCAATTCCAGCACTAGCAATTGATCCAGTCACTGCAACGACACTTCCGGTCCCAACGGAACTACTCACTCCAGAAACACTGCTGGGTCCTGCATTTGAACCCTGAACGTAGGACGTAGCACTGCTCACTGTCCTTGGTGACGCTGGACTGCTACTCTTGATGTTTATGTAATTCTGCGTCGGCCTAAAAATAAAATTCTCCGTTAGTTATATCACATAAAATAAAAATTTTTTATTTTATAAATAAAACTTTGAGGTTAAGAATCACTCCGAGTCAAAATGTCAAAACATTTTGTCTCGGAGTGATTCTTAACCTCAAAGTTTTATTTATGATCATTAATATAGATTCAGACTCGAACCGAGTGATAAAGTCAGAAAATTAAATTAAATGTACTCTTAAAATTTTTCTTTCTGTCCGAAAAAGACGTTCGTCGTGAAACGTCACAAAGAAATGGTACAAATATTAAACAGTGATCAGAGAGGGGAAAGAGGTTTTCGAATCTATTGCCCACAACTGCCCAACCCTGATTGTGTTAAGCTCGCCTCACACTCCACTTTTTTCCAATCTCATAAAACAAGAGAAGTTACACTGCAATTTTACAAGGTTGGTAATTGGTACTAAAGAAAATTGAGATGCAGCCACCTTCAGGGTAGTGACCCTAAACGTAAAGCGTAAACTTCACACAAAATGGAAAAGAAAAGACGATATTTCTCTCCTTTTCTCTCTCACGCAAATTTTACACTTTTCTGTCTAATTTTGATGTTTGATTTTTTGAAAACTAAAAGCGCAATGGGTTAAGACCACATTACGTCTAAATTTGCAAAAATTATCAAATATTCCATCTAATCATTAATATTTATTAAAATAATTCATTTTTCCGTAGTTTTATTGTTATTTCAATGCGTGCTCGTGTGCGTTTTGATAAAAAATAATTATTATGAATTAAATCTACATTTTTAAAATGTATTATAACCATATATATATATATATATATATATATATATATATATATATATATGTATGTATGTATTTTGTCACGCGTGGGTGATCGAGAACATTTACTATAAAACATGTTGTATCGTCGACAATTATTTTCACCTCATAATCACTGGTTATAGTCGAGGTAGCAGCTAGCAATAACAACGGTAGTTCGTTGATCTTTAAATTTTATAGATTATAACGTCATCGTCTTATCGTCGTACTGAATATTTATTTATATATATATATATGTATATAATAATAATAATTTAATATTCAAATTTATAAAGTTTATAAATTATAAACTTTATAAATTCATTTATTTAAATATTATACTAAAAACAAAAAGAAAAGTCATTGTCGCTATTAATTCAAAATTTTATAACCCTTTTAAGGTAATTTTACAATTGATGTTGTTAAAAGGCGAACATAACCTCAAAATAGTAATAAATAAAAATAATTTAGATTTCTAATGGGAATTCTAAATTCAAATCACTTAGGGTGATTCTGCAATAAAATTAATGTTCTTAAATAACGAACCTAACACCAAAATTGTAATAAATAATTTAAAATAATAATAATAATAATACTAATAATAATAACATTAATAATAATAAAAATGTTAACTTCTTCCACATGTCATTTAATTAATAATAAAAATAATTTAGATAAGTAAAAATAGCTAAGCAAATTTTTTCATCAAAATAAATGAAAAAAAATCATGAATAACAGAATCGACGACGAAAATTTGCAAGTTAATAATAATATTTCTACCATTATATAAATTAATATATATATACCTATATATATGCAATTTTATTTATGTTCGTGCAGAAAATATTAAAATTACAAAAGAGACATTTTTTTTAGAGAATGAGTCAAGGCATTAAAATCATTATCACTGGTAGTGTGTGACTGGCATTTAGAGTCTTGAGTAAATTAGGTTTTCAAGTATCACATGTGCTCGCACATATGTGACTCATTGCTACACTCTCGTATACATATGTATATATGAAATAAAAATTCGATAGAATCATCGGTTGTTGGTTTTTCGTCTTCTTTTTTTTTTTAATTTTTCCTATATTATTATATACGAACTCGGTGGAATTCAAGTAGGCGTTTCAATCCGGAAGTTCATTTAAAACCACTTGAACATAAATAGATTTTCGAATGTATTAAAATTTATCCAAATCGTATAGATTATTACCATACGCACACTTTTATCAAATGACTGCTATTAATTATTTAATAATTAAAAGCAATAATAATAATAATATTACATTATTTAACAGTTTTTAATAAAAATTATAAATTTTCATTTTTTGTAACCAATTTTATTGCATACTTTTTGAACACCCCGTATATGTCAAAAACCAATAAAAAAGTAAAAAAAAATATTTTAAACAAAATGAAATCAAAACTGAGATAAGTAAATGATAAAATAAAAAAAATCTATATGAATAAAACAAAATGTATCATAAAAAAAAGTTGTTCTCTTATCAAATTTTCGTGATTCTAAACTTCTTTTTTTTTCTTTGCATTTATATTGTATATTGCGCGAAAGCGTAGGCTTAAAAGAAGAGATTTTGAAGTCCAGATTTGCTAAGCCATTCAAGATTAAATCGCGAATTGAAATGGCAAGCCTTATTGCCATTCATTTGCATTTTATATACACACATACATATAAATATACATATACTGTTAGTATAACAAAAATATCATAAATCGATCGTTATAAAGTACTATATAGATGCACAAATGAAAAAAAATTATTTATTCTTTCCTAAAAAGAAAAAAAATACTAGTTTATTTATAGGTATAAAAATTAGTTTTTATATTAAGGTTTAATTTCTATGATTCTATATGAAGATTCTATATTAATTATAATCATATTTTTATCGATGAATTTATTATATAACTATTATTATAAATAAATATTTCCGGTCGTGAAGTAATTTTTTTTTCCCACATAATAAACTCAAAATTTATTTTATAACTTCAGTGTATACAATCGAATAAATTATTTATGTTGAAATTTACATCACGTCTATATTATGTATAAATTTATTTCTGAATGGACTCAAATCTCCGAGATTTAATCAATATAGTTCAAATTAAAGTTGTGATATAAGTAAAGAAAGAAAAAAAATTGTCGAGAATGACTAAAGGAAATTATTTCATCTCGTCGCAAGAGAGCTACCTGAGTTTAAAATACGTTTTTAATTAAAATACAAATATATATAGGTCATGGAAAATTTTTGCATAACTATATATATTTTAAAAATATATTATAATATACTATATTATAGTAGAGTATAATATAATATACTATATTATAGTAGAGTATAATATAATGCATTTTAAATATTATTAATAAAAAAATAATAAAAATAATTATTATTACTATCATTATTATCATTGTTATTTTTGTCTTAATATTGATGAATGACTATAATGTATAATAAATATAAAAGGAAAAAAAATGTTTTCTTTTACTTTTTTTGTTCATTGCAATTTCTATATTTTCGTTTATAAATTTTATCTGCCGCCTGATAAGAGCTTTTCAGTAATGATAAAATCAGGAAGTTTAATTTTAGAAAATACTCATTGATTCTCTTTAGTTAAAAGTACTCTTTTATCGCGAAACTAGACTGCGAATACATATATTATACATAATATAGGTTATATAAAACGTGAAAAAAAGAAAAAAAACTTAATAATTTCTACCATTAGTAGTTGCAAATATTATCATGACAACAAAATACCATAAAGAAAAACGAATCATTAGGTTTATTATCATATAATAACCACAATTGTTAGGTATTATTAATTAGAACTACCATACTCGATGATTATTAATTAAAACTACCATAAATGATAACTGTCATAATAACCATTTATTGTAACTAATAAAGTTATAAGTAATAACTTATAACTACTATTATATTCCCTAAAAAAGTCCTCTTCTAATTTTAAAAAACTTTTAAATCACTAAAATTATACATTCAATCATATTATATATAAAATAAATTATATTTTATAATATAATATATATTTAGTATCTTTTGTATTGTTCTTACATTTTAAAACAGTTTCTATTATATTTATTTTATAACCTAATATTTTTTACTTTACAGAAGTAGAAAATAATTTTCAATCATTATTGTAAAATGTCTTTATTAGTAAAGCAGTTTTTACTAACAATAAAGAAAAAACCGAGCCAACTGAAGAGAGGGGGGAGGATTTTTTCCCCCATGATTGGCCCCGTAAAAGACCTCGTGGCCAATCTCGCGAGATATCCGTAATGTGGCAACATTGCAAGGCAACGAGTTTTTTTTCCAACACAAGCGAACAAGTAAGCAAGCAAGCAGCCAACCTATAACAGTGTCGCTTTCTCTCGAGCCGTGAAAATTGCAGTGATCATATTCTCTCTCTGTTATAATATAAAATCACCACTACCACCACTACCACCATTCTACAGTATTGCTGCTGCTGATGATGATAGCAAATGGTGGTGGTGGTAGTCATCAGATTTGCTCATGCGCTGTTAAAAGCCACGTGGTGCGCAGTGACTACGACCCCGTGACGCAGGCGCGCAGCCCGCCATTTTGCGCAACTTCAACAACCAATCGGAATCGTTATACACATACACAGAAGTCTGTATTCTCTTCAACGACCTACGACGATTTTGTCGTCGCTAGAGAGCATGGGGCGAGAGTAGAAATCCGCAAGGACAGTAGAGTGTCTGTGTGTAGAGCGAGGGGAGGAGAAGAGGGAGGGAGGGGAAATACCAGTCGCTTTTTAGAATTCGCTTCCTACGCGCGGAGAGTGTTCCGCTATCTAGATCCAATTTCCCCCCATGAATTTTTGGGAGAACTTCAACTGCATTAGAAAAAAGAAAAGTAAACGCAATTCCATTTTTTATATCGTCAATGTCACTGGATCCAATTTTACAGATATGCCAATTTTTTGCCTTTTTTCTTTTTTGAAGAATACGAATACCAAAGTTGAGGAACTTTTTTTTGGTATTGGTTCGTAAATATCAAAAGAGATCTTTTGAATCTAAGTACTACTACAACTACTAATAAATACAATACTGATAATTAGTAGTTGTAGCAGTAATAGAGATTAAATTAGGTTCTAAAATGCTTTGGATGTTTTACAGATTATACTAAACGGGGTCAAAGTTTATTTAGTTTGCTAAA